CAAAGCTGATGTTTGGTCCGGAACTTTGGTTGCCAGTGGATCTGATAACAGGATGTCCACCTTATGAAGAGTTGCCTGAAAATGTGTCAGAGTTTGTGAAAGTGTTATCGGAAAGGATGGATGATAATCACCATCAAGTGTGTTCAAACTTGAAAACGTCTGCTGATTCCATGAAGCTATGTTATGATAAGAGATCTACTGAAGTCAGCTTTGTACCAGGAGACAAGGTGTGGTTGTATAATCCCAGGAAGACCAACGGGAAGTCTCCTAAGTTGTCTTCTCCATGAGAAGGCCCATATGACATAGTGGATCGTCTCTCAGACCTGAATTTCCGAATAAAATGTGGTTGGAGAAGTAAGTCAATGGTGGTGCATGCCAACAGGCTTTGGCATTATCACGGTCTAGGACATTTCAGTTGGAATGAAAGGAACAACAGAACAAATGATGCTGCTGAAGATGTGTCATCTGAAAAAGCCACTATCGAAGAAGAAACTCTACCCGGTTTTGAGAAGGGAAGCAGTGAAGCCCTTGATAAAGTTACTACCATTGATGTGACTGTTACCGATAATAGGACAATTCCCGATGGAGCAGATGAACCACACGTGAAGCAGAAGCCAATGAGACAGAGACCAGTACGGAAGAAGATACGTCCTGTAAAATTAAGAGACTTTGTTGAATTTTAATTTTGTGTTTGTAAATACTGTACATTTAATCAAGTTATTGTTAATTATCTATTGATTTAATGTAAGTGGCTATTATTCGGGATGAACAATACTAAGGAAGGGGCAGTGTTACGACAGCAGAAGTCATGTGACGCTGGTAACACGGCGTGAGTTTCTAGAAGAATCATGTCTTTTCCCGGCAACTCTAGTCTTTTCCAGGCGCCCTCTATTTTAGTATATAAGCCCGCCAAATAAGCAGAAATAAAATGGCAGATAGGGAGATATAGACACAGATAATTGAGTCATGCGAGCGTTAGTAACTCTAAGTAAAGTGCGTGAATCGTTGTGAATTGTAGCCTGTGTTTAAGTTAAAGTGACTGTGGAAATTAAGTGTATTACAAAGTTTGTAACAAGAAAGAATAAACTGCTTTTAATCAAGAAGGGACTTGTATCACTGAAGTCACTCGGAAAGAATTTTTACCGGAAATTATCACACAAGTAGATACGTAACAATAAAATGCCACATTATAATTAAAGCTTATGTTTATGATCTGTGGAAGTAGTCTAATACAAAATAACTATTCTTATTAGTCTGTTATAGCTGGATTTACTGTACAAATGCAAAGGAGATCACATTAATTTCTACACCTGTCTTTGCTAATATACAGAAGTGGTATGCATTTCGGTGATGAGTTTCATATTTGTATTTTTAGAATGGATGGTAAACAAAGTTGTCAGCTAAAACATTATCACAGAAAAAATGCAGCCAAATGGAAAACCTTCTTATAGTAGTTATCTTCATCAAGGTGGAAAAATAACACAATGTAGCTAGATTTTTGGCACATGGTTTTTCAGTAGTTATATTTTCAAGAAATGTATAAATCATACTTATAAGAGAATTTTTTTTTCAACATTTTCCAATTCAAAAATGGACACTTAAGAAAGCCTGGCCCATTTTATGGGGTATAACTGATAATTGAAACTGTTGGTGCTTGACTTTTCTCCTTATCTAAGAAGAGATATTGACTTATTGGAAAAGGCTCATAAGAGGACTGCTATGATGATCTTTGATATGGAAGGGTTACCTTACAGGGATAGGTTAAATTCTCTTCCCTTATTTTTCTCGTGAGAAAATAAGGGTAAGAGTTAAGACAATTTTATGATTTCTAACTGAGAGAGTGACTGATGGGATGAGTTACCAATTTATCATTAACAGTTGTGAAGGTTAGCATTTTAGAGGAAAAATATATGATTTCCTAAAAAATAAAGGATACATGGGTTTAAAATTTTACTTTTCTAAAAGGTGAATGTGCTAGTAAAGCCTTGAAGAACCAAATGGTCCCTTGTTGTCCATATGTTATCTTATATTAAGAAATTATGGAGCTGCCAAATAGTTCCTATTGAGCTAGGCTTAACCACAGAAATGTTATGAAATCTTCTCAGTTGTTCACTGTTAACTGGCTAGATGCTTGTGCCAATTACAGAGTGCAGTAAAACTATTTATAAAAATAGTTAATTTTACTGCTTAGCAGCACTGTATATAAAATAAACTTCTTGGTGGGACTGGTGAATGTTCACACAACTGAGTGCTAACTGATGATGCTATTTACTGGCTGTAGGTTTAATCTATGATATGTTACGAACAAGTCTGTTTAAGAGATAAATTCATCCTATCTAGTTATTACATTTTGTATCATTTAGAACTAATTGTGTTTTTAAAACTAAAATGAAATAGTGAATAGGGGTAAAATTACTGATAATATGGTGTGGTTAAGATTATCAATTAAATATCTTTAACACTACTATCATTACTATGGTAATATTAATTTTATCACTATCTGTCAGTTAAGTATGAACATGATTTTCTTGAAATCAAAACAAAATGAAAATACTTGCCATATTCTTCCAGATAAAAGCATGTTAAGCACTTCAGAGCACAAAAATGTAAATATGAATTACTATGAGTGACAGTACTGCACGTCAAAATGTTTTTTAATGCCACTATAGCAAAAGTACTTTTTTCTGTGTCTCTTGCTAGCCTACATACATGACAAAGCACAGAAAATACATTCTCTTTTTCTTTGGTACCATCAACATTATCCTTCTTTTCTGTTGAAAAAACAAGAGAGTATTTTGTAAGATACTAAAAACATATTTTTTATCTTACTTCTATATGAATTTTTGAAAGCTAAAACCCACTAAAGTACATTTAAGATTAAGAAAAATAATGTAACAAGTAATTCAGTAAACTGAGATTACCACTCACAACCATAACAAAAAATCATCACTCATGATATCTAATGGTGACTTTCAACTGTAAAGCCTTGGTATTCCATATCTAGACACAACAAGGTTTTTAGATTTTGTATTTAAAAGAGACTATTATTGATCCATGTGGTAAATAATTTTATCTAAATTTTTTTTTTGTATGTAATTACACATTGTAGCTGAAATATATCTTAGTTTACACATTATGTTTATGACGTAATACTCTGTCTTTCAAAAATCTATATAACAAACAAATATGTAATATTTAAATGGTTTTTTGGAAAATTTTTAGATATGTTCCTAATTTTCAGTTTAATGAAAAAAGTTTAAAAATGCTAATGCACGTCTTTTTTACTTCCTATTTAATAAATATACATTATTAGAATTTTTGTATAAAAGCTTACATAATGTCCACTGAAACTGGAAAGTTAAAAAAACATTTTTTCATGAAAATGTTTCAAAATACACATTTTTTCTATACATATTACAAGAGTATGTTATCATGAGAAGATATAAAAAATATTTCTAAAAATACTTATCTAAACCAGTGTTTCTCAACTTTTTGGATACCACGGACCAGGTCACCACCTCTCTAAACTGTCACAGACTACTAAAATACAAATACGAGGAAAAATCATTATGATTTACATATGAATTTTCTGTCAGTTTTTGTGAAACCCCATGGCCTAGCCAAATGGATGTAATAGACTGGTGCTGATCTACAGACCAGCATTGAGAAACACTGATTTAAACAATATGATGTATAACAACATTCTTTCTATATGCAACTGTTGGCATAGTTACCAAATGATGTTAGGGCTTCTTGAACTGCCTTATCATCCTCTTCCAAAATAGCCAATTTTAAAAATAAATAACCATTCACAAGGTTTGCTGGATCAATGTGTTTTGCCTCAGAAAGTACAGATTTAGCTTTCCTAGTTTCTTTTATTTCAATGCAGCAAAATGCAAAACTTTGCAAGACTGTCAGTAAAGCTTGCATTACAGCTGGTGTTTTATTCTCATCTTCCAGCTCGTCATATACTTTCAATACAAATTCATGCCACTTAATTGCACCTATATAGTCACACTCTTTAAATCTCTTGGATGCATTTTCTGTCATCACACAGAAAAAGTCTTGAATAAAATTAAATTGTATTTCTTTAGATTCCACCAATTTTAAGAATTTGGTTCCACATAATGCAGCTTTTTTTGTGTCTCCCTGGAGAAAATTAAATTTTGTGAGTAAAACAAGTAGCTCAGCTTTATCACTAACTTCCTCTGACCTGTCAAATTGATGTTTTAGAATGTCAACTGCCAGATCCAAATAACCATGGTTTAACAAAAAATAGCTCAGTTCTATAGCATTTTTAGTTTCTAGGTGAGGTAGTTTTTCCACTGCATGTAAGACTTCAGAAATAGCATGTCTGTCGTTGCTATGAACTACAATTTGTAACCTTTTAAATTCAATTTCAGGATCAGCAAATTCTGTATGAGCCAGTTCTAAGGCATGAAGAGCCTTCTGCCAGTATTGTTTTCTGTCCCACAGTAGGTAGGTCTCAACCATTAGTTTTAATGTGTTTAACTGTTGATCTTTATTGACACTATTCTCACTTTTTCCTAGATCAAAACTTTCTTTTAACCAAGAAATAGCTTCTTCACACTTCTTCTGGTTGAAGTTTTTCAGACCAATGTTATAGCATAGTAGTGCCAAATATTTCTGTTGCACAGGAAAATTAATCACTTTGCTTTTGACTTGCTGAAATAATGCATAAGCTTTGTCATATACAATACTATTTGTTTTCCAGTAAAAATTTACTTCAATGTTATATATAGAAATTAGAAGTGATCTTTGCTCAACAAATTTACTTACAGAATTTTTTTCAGCAATATCTACTGAATTCAATACTGTCTGTAGGTCATCAATGCAACTGTTTGATATTTGCAGTAAGTGTTCAAGTCGTTCAATTATTATATTCTCACTTGACAAGATGATACTTAATGTCTTCAAAGAGTAATTTAAAATGCTTTTGAGACTACTTAAATTTTGTGGTGTTTCAAAGCATGACTTACCTTTATTTTTTACTAACTTTTGTGAAACAAGAACAAGAACAGCAACATAGTAAAAATTTATTTTGGAATTATCATCTTCAGTTGTCTCAAAATAGTTTTCAGCATTCATAATGAAATGTATGCATCTATTGAAAAAGGAATCCAAAGTATCTTTCTGTTCTAATAACTTTGAAGTGTTTCCTGATGTAAATGTTTCTATAATCTTACTGAGGAATTCTCTCAGGTTTTCCAAAAAGCAGGATTCTACTTCCTTTTCTTTTCCCTGTATGGCTATAAAAGTGTCAAGAAAATATTTCATATTGTTCTTAGTTTTACAAGTACTAGAAAAGAAGTACCTATCCAGATTATTTATTTCACCTGTGGCACTGATACCATCAAGTCGAACAAAGTTTATAGTTGAAGTAACAGAAAAAGGACTACATTCGTGCAAACGTGAGGTTGAGCCTGTATTTATTTTCTGATCTTTAGTTTCCGGAATCAATAAGTCATCATATCTATACGTACTATTACAATCCATGCTTTCGACAATTTTGAAAACAGCGGTGTAATGCAGACGAGGTAGTTTTATATCAGCGCTCTCTACTGCCGAAAGGTGTAACTTATAAAAAATATAATTAAACAAAAATAGTGGCCACAAAATCAAGTGACATTTTTGCTTATGTTAGCAAGCGTTTGTAAGGAACTAATATGATTCTATTTTTATGAGGGTGCATTGAATTTTATTAAGATGAGAAACTAGAAACATAAGTATAATTTGGATGATCTACTTTAGATACCGAATTCCTAAAAACATTCATTTTTTTCCTGTTATTTCGTTAAAGTATTATTCTCAATAGTATCTAATTTTTACAGTAACTAATAGTAATAGGGGGTACATATTTATTATTGAGAATAACACTGAATTGTGTGTGGCTTACACTAATTCCATATTAGCCTGAGTAAGTGACGGATTTTGTTAACCTTCCTTAGTTTGCGGGGATTCTAGCGTGTTTCATGTTTGTTTGTTTGTTGTTTATTTTTAGTCAATGTACTTATAACTTTTTCTTTCATGCTTTAATTATGGTATCAAAACAAAAAGCTAAATGAACACTTTAAAATTAATTAAATGCAATCATGTTATTTGTCACAGCTGATAGGTGAACTAAAATCGCAGAATGTTACTTTTACCTTTTTCTTAACATAACACCCTGATAAAGTTGAATGTAAAACGAAACACCGTCATTCGTAATAATATCATAATAAACAAATAATAGATAACTTAAAAATCGTTAAAATGATATATAGTTGTAAACTATCTAATGAGGTGTTTTGAAGTCTCTAAACACGTTGTAGAAAGCTATAAGCTAAATTAAAATATTTTGTCTCATGTTACAATATGACAAGTAATTTTGATTGTGTTTGAACCCTGAAGCACTCTTTCTGTATGAATTATATATAGATTTTCAATTTCAAAAGAAAACTCACGACGTTCAGTTTTTGTTTGTTTTTAGAATTTACATAAGACATTTCAGTGCTAATTTAAATCTTCGTGTACAAATTAGACGACCACATATCTCTCCGCCATCAAATTGTGATATTACACTGTAAATATCGCTTTATTATTTCCACTGTGCTGCTAGCTGGCCTGTTTAATAACACTTAAAATCACTAGAAGTACAATACATTCACTACTAGCGAAGTAATCGAATTATATGGCCACTACTATACACAGGACTGACACGCACTAAATGAATGTAATACTAATAGTTCAAAAATGATGTTAGGTTAGGCCACAGAGCTCCCATAGAAAATACTATGAGTGTGTTTGATAAATACTGTTTTGGAATTAAAAAATACTGTGGAAAAATACTGTTACGACAGCGGGGTCACATGACGCTAGTAACACGTCATGTTCTCGAAGGTTCGTGAATGCTTGAGCGTTTACTAGATTTCGGTATTCTTGTACATATAAGACGGTCAAGACGTGACAGCAATAATGTAATGTAACTGAAATACAGACAGAGAGAGACTGACAATTGAGTCGAGCACGTGTTTCTTTTCTTTTTCCTCCAACAACTGCTGTAATCTTTCTTCTTGTTTATTTTGCTGTTCGAGCTGTCACTGTTGCAGGTTTTCTTGCAACTGCTGTTGTCTCTCTTCTTGTTTCTTTTCTCGTTCTTCTTGTTTCGTTTCTTGTTTCTTTTCTCGTTCTTCTTGTTTCGTTTCTTGTTTATTTTCTCGTTCTTTTTGTTTCTTTTGTTGCTCTTGTATTTCTGCCATCAATTCTGCTAAGCTGTAGTTTGATTTGCGGCCTTTCCTTTCCATCTTCTTATTCTTT